TTTTCTGGAACGACTACGCTCATCCTGCCACAACACACAATTTTTATTACAAGCTCTTCGCTCGTCTTCTTTTATTTTCTCTTCAGTCCCTCGCCACAGTGATCCTGTCTCCTCTTTCCTCCAATCGTCGCGTCCTGCCCAAAGCCACAAGCCATCGACATTGTCCGCCGCCCCTTCTTTCTCAGACCAGTTCTGGCGCTGGGTGGTGTGCCGCAACTAACATGTGCATAAATCCACCTCTCACGCAGTTCGAGGCCTTGGGGTCATGGGAAGTGAGCCGCTGGATGAGTGATTTTGCTGTATGTCACGCCACGTTCTTTCTGCCCCAAAATACCTGACTGACTGCATTTAGTCTCGGCCGTCGACTGGGATGGTAGCTCAGTCTGAGTCGGGCTGCGCGGCGCCTGCGGTACATTATAATTTAGGTTTTAAAACGAGAGTGTAAAGTTACCGTGCTTGATTGTAATTTCTCATGTTCGATTTCCAGGCGGGACTCATCTTTCCGAGTCGTTATGCAATCAACGTAACCGAGGCATTGGACAAACCTCACGAATTCATAGCTCAAGAAACCCGGTACCTTGTTCGCGGCGCCAAATGTCTTACACTACTGGATTACTCGCGCCGCAACACCAACTAACATTTTCCTAACAACAGGAACACTCAGAGCCTTTTAAACCTTGGGGAGTGGCAACATTTTGCCTATGAAACTGTCAGCACGGCGAGCTGGTGCCGTACTCTCTTAATACCCCGTATCTTCCCATTTTTTTCTTGCGTAATTTGGAACAACTGACATATGTGTACATTGATAATTGACGAGAAATACAGACGACGCAAAACAGTATGTAAGAAGGAGAAATGAAGTCCGCTATCAGCCCGGAATTCTAACCTGGGTCCCGCCCGAGCCAAAGTTTCCGTCAGTGAAATAAGGATCGGAGGCCTTCGATCCAGTCACCCAGGAGCTCAGCGTCGATACAAAACCATTGGCATTATCGCTTTCTCTGATAAAACCGACGTCGTCAACGCTGATCTGATAGTTTGATCCAATAGTCGACAAGCTATAGATCGAAACATCGCTGGAGTCGGATGAAAAATCTGCGATCTTTGCTTGGCAATTCCTTGTTTCCAGGCAAGTCTGGCTTCGATTGTTGAAGAAACTGGAGAAGACACCACCTAGTGTTCAGTTAAGTTAGATTTTTGCAGTGAATAGACATCGTGTCGACAAACCATAGGTGAAGATGTTTTTCGAAGATTTCACCGTCAGACCCCAAGCAGAGGAATCTTCAGAAGTGAAAGACGGGTCCTTGTAGGCTCTGCTGGTAACGAATGGTTGAGGGGCGGCAGGCACAGGCTGCCAGTATGGCTGTATGCAGAATTGGGATCACTCTTTGAATAAGAGGACAAAAAAGGAGATGAGCACCGTCGATGATTGAAGCACCCCCATGATGTGGTTCTGAGCCCCGACAAACCTATACTGGTACAACACGCTGTGTTCAGCTTATGGGCGGCGAATTAGCCACGAAGACTAATATTAGGAGGGGAAGAGGTGGGCTTACAGTCTGTCGGAGTAATCAATTAACTTTCGAGGGTGCTTAGAATCGAGACGATTACTCACTGATGCCATTCATCCAAACAGGACCTCTTGCTTCTGAAAGAACACCTCGGCCAGAGTATATCGAGACTGGCGAATTACCGGGGCCGTCGAGATCACGAGTTGCAGACCAAATCCATGTTCCCTAGAACACAAATGGGCGTTGGTATGAATCTTGCACGAATGGTATAACAGTGTGACATGCCTCTAGGTATGCCGATGAATAGGGCGTAAGATGTAAAGCCAGGAAGGCAGCCATGCAGGATTTTGTGTGAGGGGATTCCGCTGGGCAGTTCCTGGCCTCGAGGTCTGTACCTGCGGCTGTTAAATGACGAGTGATTAGGTCGTTAACAGGTATGCAGGGTGTTATGAGTATACAAACCTCCACCCAATCTGCATAAAATGGTTAGATATGTTCTAGGTATCTTAGGGCGAGAGGCCATTGGATGAACGCACCTGATGTGTGAGCCCCACATACCGGCGTTACCTTGATTCTCACTGTCCTGCATGATGTTCCACTCGACCACAATAGCTCCGGGGGCTCAAAGGATCAATCAGCTGGAAAGCATATGTAGAGGATCTGGCGAGCTTACAAGGGCCAACGGTACTAAAAATCACGTCGGTAATCTCGATTGCGCCAATACGCCGGTATGTCCCAACCCTCACTACAGGTCGAGGCGAGTTCTGATCGGAGAACATGATTCCTCTGCCGGCAATGACTGGCCATGCCTCTCCTACTATTCTTGACCCTGCGGGTATGATAAACGAACGCGTCACAATGTAGGTTCCTGCGTCGAGGAAGACGATCTTGTCCTGGAGTATAGCCTAGGAGCTGGCTGCTAGTAAAGAAGAAAGTGCAATATGACGGTAGACGAACCTCGTTCATTACAGATAGCAGAGCACCTGTGTCGTCCGTTATCCCGTCTCCTCGCGCGCCGTAATCCTTCGCACTAAGAAATTGCCGCACGGAGTAGCCTGCATATTGGGGCTGTGATTTTCCGAAAACTCTGCCTGTGCTATCGAGGAGAGCGCTGGGTTTCGTGGCAATGTCAATGAATCCTTGGTTGAAGTTTCCTGTAGAGTTGTAACCAGAGTACATGTTTCCCTGACCCCAGGCCTTGATGTCGGTGTATGCGCCACCGCCCACTATGATACGATCGTCGGAGTCCGCGATGGCAATCTTCACGTTCTCGAGATGCATGTTGTCGATGATTAAGGAGCCCTTGGGCTGGAGGTTACTGGCGGCTGATGAGCGGACTGCAATTACCGTGTTGCGGACTACTGTGTCGACGAGGGATACAGCGCTGACGCCCTGAAGGAAAAAAGATAAGTGGGGTGGTGTTTTGCAGTAAGCATACGCTCACAGAAAGGAAGTCAAACCCGATCTACATGTGAAGATATATGTAAGCTTTAGGCAGCGGTAGCTAAAGACGCAGTAACATGCCCTGCAGTTATTGATCGTGACGCCTTGGAAGGTCCATGCTAGATGGTTTGTGGAATTAGAATTTCGAGCATTCCAGCTCTGCAAATCTGAGTAGGCTCACCCCAGCCCCAGTGTTGGAGGATAGCTGTATCCGCATTGTTGATTGTCACATTGCGCACAGTGAATCTTAGTAGGACATGTGAATGGCTCGTTTGGCGCGTCATTAACTCGCAACGTGACGTACTGTTGATTGCCAACCCACATGCCGAACTTCCCTGTAGATGCGCTTCAGTTAACTAGACCTGGAATGAGATTGAATATCCAAACGAACCTCCGTTGAAAACCAAGTCGCTCATAATTCCTCCGCTTTTGGAGTGACAGCCGTAAGTAGACAAGGCGTGGACATTATTCAATAAGGCTTCACCTTCCGTTCTCCATCCAGACACCTGGAGTTTGTATTTAATAATCTTCGATGGCCTCCGGCATGTGGGACCTCACCTTGATGGGCAGTACCAGGGGCAGATGACATCTCAAAGACAATATTCATCAAAGACGTCGCTCTTGCTACTTGCCAGTGGATCCCTGTTCCCTGAGATCTTTCTGGAGGCACGCTATAATTTCATATATCGGTTGGATAGGCGAAGTTAGTACACGACTGTCTACTGACCTTCGAACATCGATGACGAAGTTCCTGACTGAACGAAAGCTACAGTAAGGCCCCAGTAGTATTAGGTATCTAATTCACAGCTAATGGAAGTGACGTACTTGTTTTCGGTGTTGTCGAACCACTGAGATCCTCCCGCTTTATAAGGGTTCGCATCTACAAGTAGATGGTCCTTCCATCCCAGTTATCATCACGTTAAAATCAGTGGAACATACCGATTACAGCAATTCCTTCAAAATCTTCGGATGCAAGCAGAACAGGAAGGGAGGTTGCGTCGCCGACGAATTGAGTGTAGTAGTAAAGAGTGATCGGGGCGCTGACGCGATATTTTCTGCAATAGAGGCCATGGGTCAGCTGCGTCGTCAAGTGCGAAGACTCTAGTTTACCCTGAGGGAACGTAAACCAAGGCAGGTGTGATTCTGCCATGCGTAAGCGTACATTTTAGTGTCAGCAGCTTTTGGCATCGGACAAGTTAACGTACGTCGAAGAGTTGCAGGGCGTGTCGTTGCCTCCACAACGATTACCGTACGATATCGCTTTGCTAGAGGATAGTCGAGTTTGGTATCAGACACTGACGGGACACTGAAGAAAGTATTGACTTAATGGCAAAGGTGTCGTCTGTAATTCCATCCCCTACGGCACCGAAGTCCTATCGAAATGTTAGATAGTGGTCAAAGACTCGACATTAGAGTGGACACACTTTGACATTGCGAAAGACTTGATAATCGGGGTCGGGATTATATGGAGACGAGCCTTGGTGCTTGATAGTCTCAAGCCAGAAAGGTTCGTCTGCTCTTGCATCACCAACGTCCGCCCTAAAGTGCTGGGCGTTAACGTGGGCGGAGAGCAACAAGAAGCTAAAGATTCCCCAAAGCATGGCTCAGGTTGGGGCGAATCCGAGATACTCCTGCCATTAAATAGCGCTTAAATAGGTGTTGTGGAGTTACTATGACCTGTGGATCGAGTAAGAAGAACGAAAGAACACACGGAGCTTGTCAGTGCTCAGTAACGATTACATTTATGGTCCCAAAGAAAGCGTAACTGAAGCAAAAGGTAGACTCTTTTGAGCAGCGGACCAGAAGTCGAATCAGAAGTGCGAACAACGTTCGATAGGATGGGTGGTGGATCAGATCGTTGGGAGTTAGATGCGCATGAGAAGTGGCAGGCTCCACGCATGCTCTTAAAATGCCACAGGGGTTTTCTCACCACCTGAGGAGGGTGCAGAGAGGAAAACTGGTCGCTGCGGGACTTTCAGAGCTCGTTAGAATGAATTGTAAGCCCAGCCCATGGCAAGATCTCGTAAAAATGATATGAACAGAACCTAATGGGGGCACCGCGGATTGAACGCGGGACCTTCAGAAAGCATGTGATTTGCTTCAGTCTGCTGCTCTCCCAACTGAGCTATGCCCCCGTGAATTCCTTGTCTTCCTGCTCCTTCCAGTGTCGTAGTACTTATTCCGTATATGAGCAAGCTCTGATTGCTTTTCAACTTGCAAACCCACTCGCGACGTCACATACCTTCAATACTCCTGGTGAAAAGCACTATGACATTATGCCATCTAACGCTCAGTGACCGACGTCACTCGGAACTTAAATGTCGGTGGGATTCACCATGATCGTGGCGGGGCTGCCATTCATTTTCGATTTTTGTTCTAAACCTTTGTCTTCACCTTTTCGCGATCGTTTGCCTTGCTTCTGAGTCTCGGTTCAAAACTGGAAAAACACTTTTTCGCTTGCTGCACTCTCGGCGCCATGCAATGATCAATCATCTACCTCGAGGTTCGGCGCGTGAGCGCCATTAATCAGGGTTCACGTTGATATACATATAAGGTCTAATTCATTTCCTTGGTCACTGAAGTCCAATGGTCCAGGATTTACCCCCACCTGTTCTCCCACCACTCGACCGCGATGGACAGCTCCTCTTGCCAGATGCGCTCGAGTTCAACTGGAAACATAACCCGAAGCAGCCGTTTTACACTTATGCTGACCCTCAGGCTGTGGATGGCGTGCAGGTTATTACGCACCTCGAGTTTGGGAGGGCGGCGCATAGGGCTGCGCATCTAGTGAGACCTCGGGCTCAACAGCAGTCTACTACTGGGGAATCGGATAGGGAGATCGTAATGGTCATCGCTGATAGCGATGTGGTTTTGGTGCAGGCGGTACATGCGGGGATGATGGTTGCGGGGCTGGTGGTGAGTGGCGATTTTTGTTTAATGTGGAAGCCTTGTGAAGAATTGGATTCTAAAAACACGATACACATACTAGCCATTTGTAGTGTCTTTGCTTCTTCCGCCGTCTTTAGTCGCCGAGCTGATAGCCAAGACGTCGTGCCGTCGGGTGCTTGCGACGGATAGTGTGCACATCAGAGCTCGGGTTGCTGAAATCAAGGCGCATCTCGAGACACTTGGGCATGCACTGGATGTCGACGAGATGCCCTCTCTCGAGGCGGTGTATCCGTATCTCGCGCACGAGGATGTGGATCATCCGTTTGAGCCTTATAGGTTCCCTGGGCGCCGGTCTGCGACGGATGTTTGTACTGTTGTGCATTCGTCGGGGACTACGGGGTCCCCGAAGATCATTGCGCAGACGTATCAGTGTTGGATCGATAGTGTTCGCTGCCGTATGTCCTATTCGCCGTCCGCGTGGTAAGGGTTATTGATTTTTATGACAGCGGAATTCAGGAACCACAGCCCGCGTGTGCGATGTGGCTCGATGGGGGTCCCGCCTGTGTATGGTGTGGGCGTACAGCTGTTCCAGCCCGTGTATTCGTTGGTCGTCGCGTCGGTTTTCCCGCCAACGTTGACGGGTACACCGAAACACGTTCCAACGCCACAAAGTATTCTCGAACATGCGAAGGCGACGAAGACGAATGTACTTCTTTCAGTCCCGATCTTGCTGGAGATCTGGTCTCGTTCTGCTGAAGCAGTCGAATATCTCAAGGAATTGGAATACATTGTAAGTAGAGTTGTTCTCAAAGATTTGGTGTCTTTCATCATGATGCCTTTTATACCCTTAGGGATATGGTCAATCAAGTTTGAAGCCGAAGGTTGGAAACCAGCTCACGGCTGCTGGTGTACGTCTCAGCAACGCCTATGCCGCTGCTGAATTCATCGTACCGGTTTCGACGGTTCCAAACGGGGTGGCATGGGACTATGTGCGGTTCCTCGACACTGTGAAGGTCCGGTGGAATCCACTGGGTGATGGTGTGTTTGAGTGCCATCTTTTGGTAAGGTTGCATTGGCTGTTTGGATTCGGTAGCTGAAAGGATATCGATGTCGTTTTTTTTTAGAAATGCGAAACTCATCATCCAAACGTGCTCAACCTGCCTGACGTAGAGGGATATGCGACGGGCGATATGTTTGTTCGTCACCCGACCGATGAGGGGCTTTGGAAGCCGTGGGTTTGTAACCCTTCTTGGTAAATTGGTATTGACATTTTGTGAAGTGTAGGACGGCTGTCGGAGGTCATCGTTCATTCCTCAGGCAGGAAGACGGTCCCTGGGCCCATGGAGGACATAATTGCTGGCGATCCAATGTTAGTTCCACGTTCTATGACCTGAGGGATGACGTGTCTAATGTTATTGCTCTGTAGCGTGGACGCGGCAATGCTTGTGGGGCACGGTCATGATAGGACGGGAGTTGTGATCCAGCTCAAGCCTGAGATTGAAGATGCGGAGGACCTTGAGCATGCTACGATATCTCGTCTCCGTGATCAAATTTGGTATGTCTTGTGAACGCTTCACGTATGATCGTTTCTGAGGGATAACAGGCCGACGGTCGAAGAAGCTAATAATGTGGCTATGGATTTCAGTAGGCTGTCGAAGGAAATGATTATATTTACGTCGAAAGGAAAGCCACTTCCTCTTACCAGGAAGGTAACGGTGAAGCGGAGTTTGGCGTTGGAGATTTATGCATCGGAAATATCAGAACTGTTTAGACGGGTGTGACCTCTGTGTATTGTACTAGTGGTGGTTTAAACTTGGGCATGGCCCCGAGAAAAGAATGAAAAAAAATTGACTTCTCCAGCTGATGGGGGCACCGCGGATTGAACGCGGGACCTTCAGAAAGCGGAATGCTTCAGTCTGCTGCTCTCCCAACTGAGCTATGCCCCCGATGACATTGTAGATTGTGTGACAGAGATGTGACACTGCTACGCACTACCTGCATGCTAACAATTACGCGAGGCTGGCATTTCTGCTATGCCTCGGTCTAAAAACCTTCCACCTCGTCTCAACCAGTCCCAGCAGCCCGTCTTTGCTCGCCTACAGAACCTTTTCCCTCAGACGCCCACTCATCCTCATGCTCAATCTGAAAAGGCTTTGCCACCCTTGCCTTCCGGCGCTCCCAAGCTGAGAAAGGCTCTCAAAGTTCGTATCATTACTTGGAATATGCATGATTCGGTACCAAAGGTGTGTATCCGCCACACTGGGTTTGGGCCATTCATTGAGGATTCGTAGGGCGACCTTGAAGAGCTACTAGGCAAAGTGCCACTTTGGACGCCACCGGACGACGAAGAAGCAATTAGCAGTATTCCGGCTTTTACGTTGGACGATGCGCACCCTTATCACCTTGTTGTGGTGTAAGCACGACCGACGCGTGTTTCTGCAGACCGTGGTTGCTCACATGCCAATCTCCCAGTGCAGGTCAAGAATGTCCGTCCCTTTCAGGTCTACACCCTCCCTCCCATCCAGTATCTTCGACGCTAACTTGGAATAATTAGGAATGCCAATGGGCCTCGGCGCCGGGTTCAAACTCATCGACAAGGATCGCGATAAGGACAGAGATAGAGAAAAGGAAAGGGATAAGGAGCGCGAATCGCGCGAGAGGGACATCGACAGGCAGCGCAGTTCACGCCACTATAGCTACCACCGCGACAGAGACAAAGACAAAGACGACTCGTCCTCGTCACGCACGCGCGACCGTGAAGACCACCACCACCACCTCCTCCTCCTACACCACAACGCACACGACCGCGACCCCCCGTCAGGATGGACCTCCATGATCGAGGACTTCCTCTGCCAGGCCAGCGGCACCCGCGCGGCCGCGTCCTCGCCCACCGTCGCGGACATAAGCGCCCCGAAGCCCCTCGCTCCGCGCCCGCGCCCGCAGTCGATGTCCAGAGAGCCCAGGAAGGGCCCGTATACGCTCCTCGTCAAGGAGCGCATGATGGGGATATACCTCGCTGTGTTTGTGCACCGCGAGGTGAGGCATCTCGTCAAGGGTACGTCGCGCTCGGCGGTCACGGCGGGCTTGATTGGGGGGCGCGTGGGGAATAAGGGCGGTGTGGGGGTTACGCTGAACCTTGCGGGGACGACGATGTTGTTTTTGAATTCGCATCTTGCGGGTGAGTGGGTGGGTGACATGTGGGGTGTTGAGAAGGCTAATGGACGGGTTTTAATTTAGCGCATGAGGGGAAGGTTAATCATCGGTTGTCGAATTTGACGAAGATTAAGGTGCGCGTGGTCTTCTATCTATGACTATGAGGGTTTTTTGCTGATGATACATACTGAGTGTAGAATGAACTTTCGGTCGACGACTTTCTGGCAAATGATGATCCTAGAGTCATGGCAGAAGGTGCTTGTGCCATTTCAAGATCTTGAATTATGCTAACTCACACTTGTACACGTAGATCTCACGGACAAATTCGACTACACGTTCCTTTTTGGTGACCTCAACTTCCGGCTGGATATCTCGCGCCTACACGCGGATTGGCTCATGTCGAGAAAAGGTACCGTACTAATGTTCCCATCCAGCGACTGACTGACTGACTGACTGACGCTTACCTTGGGTTGTATTTAAGAATACGCACAGGCGCTCGAATTCGACCAACTCACGAACATCATGCGGAGGGGGCAGGCCTTCGTCGGGTTCCAGGAAGCCACCATCGACTTCCCGCCGACGTTCAAGTACGACGTCCTGCGCTCGCTCAAGTCCAAGCGCCGGAGGTCACATGCGTCGTCGTCGAACGTGGATCCGGGCAGGAAACGAAGGTCGAGGAGGCTGACGGAGGTGGAGGAGAAGGAGATCGAGGAGCTGGAGAAGAAGGAGAAGGAGGAGCTCGAGGCGGAGGAGGGCGTGGAGGCGGAGGAGGGCGCGTCGATGGTCTCGTCTGCGTGGACCTCTGCGCATTCGGCGCGGATGACGGATCGGGAGGAGGAGGGCGAGGCGGATGTGGACGAGGAGGACGAGAAGTTCTTCGCGTCGGCGTCGTCCCAGACGATGGCGAGTTCGTCGAGCAGAGTGTCGATCTCGGCCGTGGCGCAGAAGGCGAAGTACAAGTGGCTGTCGCTGCTCGCTGCTGGGCGGTCAAAGTCCTCTTTGCCTGCGTCGGGGTCAGCGTCGGGGTTAGGGTTGGGGCTGGGATCGGGGTCGTGGAAGAGAGCGGGGGCTGCACACCCGATTGCGCAGAGTT